CCACGAATATATTCTCTAGCATTAATTTTAAATTAATTAACATTAACTCATATTCAAATATAATTTTTACAGCGGTTATAAAGCATTTTATAATTACATACGCTCAACGTTGACTAGTATCACATAATGTCAAATTAATTGGTGCTAGACATCATTATTCATATTGAAGGGATCACTAATGGGATAGTTTTATTCAATTATCAGAGACTATTTCCAATATATATTTGGCAATTGAAAGGTCATTTTTACCCCCTGCATCTTAGTCTTATTCAGCTTCATTTTATAGTTTTATTCAAGGGATGATATGCAGTTTTAGTTTCTTTCCTATATTTTGCCATTGCAAGGTCATTTTTAACCCTGCATCTAAGTCCTTATTTAACTTAATTTTATTCAAAAGATGGTATGCAATTTTAGTTTGGGGAATTGGCACAATACTCCTTAATGTTTATATATTTTGTGAAAATATCCCTAACCTTTTATTTTGGTGTAATACCCCCAAAATCATCCAAATCTTGTGAAATGCAATTTTTCGTCCATTTTCTCCGTAAAATCTTAAGATTGACGAATTTTCCTCCATCTTGGATGAACAAAAAGTAAAGAAGAAAACAAACTACTAAAGAGTTAATTGTAACCATAGTTCTAAAATTTCCAAAAATTTTCAAATTAAAATAATTATAAGAACTAAAAATTTAAAGAAAGAGGGTATTTTTTTCTGCCATTACCTCCATGCATCAATATATGTGTGTACATGACATCAACGCATCATAGTTAATTTAGAAGTGAACACACATACAAAATTGTAATTGTATGGAAGAAATAGATGTAAATGACTATTGAGATTATTGGTTCAAAACCAAGGTTTAAGAGAGAGTAATTTAAATCATTCGGTTGAACTGAGGAAAGCATTGTGTGTATGTTTTCTAAACATTTTCGTACCTAACCTAACCATGGCCTAGGTTTGGATTTGGTTCATGATCCACATGTCTCCTTGGATGGCATGGTAGGCCCAACCTCAGCCCAGCATGAAGCCAGAGTAATTGTCAAGATGGTCCAGATAGAAAATGTTGGGCATTTATTTAATAATGTACAACAAAATTTAAACAAAATTTTAATTCCTGCCAAGAGTTTGCTTTATGTTTAGATAGAAATTGTAATAGAAATGATACGTTTGCTGAATTCTGCAAACTTCTTTGATTTTCTTGAACTCCAACAATCATGATATGTAATCTACAGTTGTCCAATTGTCTTGGCTTCAATGAAAATCCACCAATGAAAATCCACACAAGAAACAAGATTGAGAGAACTAGGGTTTTTTCTTATCTTATACTAACAAGGATATGAATTGTATTCTCTACGATTTTTCAAACCCTAGCATCCTATTAATATAAGTTCAAACGGGTTTGGCCCATCTTTTGAACTTAACCCAGTTTAATATTTAATTAATCCAATTAGTAAAATCTGGTCCATGAATTAATTAATTCAATTAATTCATTCGAACCTAGTAATAAGCAACACAATTAATAAATCATCCAACACATATTAATTAATTGATGAATTGCATTCTTCTAGTTCTCCTTTAGTGATTAGGTTCCCAATCACGATGTACAAGGACATGAATTATTATTTTGATCTAATCAAAATGATAAATTAAAAC